GCAGCGGCCGCCGCGCCGCGGGCTCGGTCCCGAGCTGTCAGACGCCTGCAGAGAGGAGCGGGCCCGCGGGGCTCACTCGGTTACCGCCGAGGTGCTCCGGGATCGGGTTAGTTTCTGCGCTCTTCGTGTGGGAGGAATGTTTGGTTTTAGTTTTAGACAAAACTGAACTTGAATTCGGGATTCGTGTTCTGTACCTCGAAGGGAGGACTCCCATTTTTTTCGGTGGCCTTACCTTTTCTTGAATTATGGGGCATGTATATTTTAAGTGGGTAATGCAATTATGAAATAACACCGGTCAGGTTTTTTTTTTTTTTAATCCATCCGGGTCCTTTCTGGTTCAAGCTCTTGTTTTGTTATCTTCTCAATACAATGTTTGAATGACCGCTGGGTTGGTTAATTGACATTGAAAGAGTATTTTATTGTTCTTTTTTTGATCCAGTCAGCATTTATTGTAGTGATTGGTGTGTTTAAGGTCATTTTCGTGATTAAGGATTGAGAGAGAAACAAAATTGGACCTTAACCAGTGCCTGCTTACTCCTATAACTTTTTCCGTTGACCTGTTAAAGTTTTCAGGGGCTAACCTTTTAAAAGGTGAATACTGTTTAACCAAAGTAACAATTAAGAGTTTGTTTAAATCAACCAGAGTAACAGTTAACAGTTTTTATTTTGAATCACTGGTGTCTCCCCCAGAAACGAGAATGTGGCCTATGAGAATTGAAAAGACGGAATTTTGAAATAATATTCCACTTTCTATGATTTCTATAATCTCGAGCAGTTATCTTTTGTGTGTCAGGGTCGTCATTTTTTAAACTGGAAGCTTGCCACAGAAAATTATTTATAGGTACTTTTGTATTCTTAGAGCCATGATATAGAACATTAGAAGACCATATACCATGATTCATATTTAACTATAATCTGCTTTTTGTCAGAAGATGGTTCTCACAGTGAAGTTTAAGAGGTCACACAGCTGTCATATGGAATTTTAGATCACTGGAAGAGAACTTGAACACTGTATCAGTAAGGAAAGTAAGGCCCCTCAAGAATGGAGTGATTTGTTCATGGTCCCTGAGCTATACTTTTGAACTATGTGGAGGGGGCAGTGTATATTCATGATTATATTGGCATTTAAAAAAATTTTTTAAATAGGCACTATAGATCAAGTTCTTTTTTTTTTTTTTAAGTTGTCTTATAAGAAGGAGGTTTCATTTTAAGAATACTTATAGTAACTTACTTACTTATAACAACTGTATGGTCCATATTTCCTTTAGCTAAATGTTAGTTGTAAGCTTATTGACAACATAATTGCTAGCAAATAATACTTTTGAAAACTCTACAGTTATTGTCTCTTGGTGGATTCTCAACTTTTTTTGTCATAGGTTCTAGTTTGGAATATAATTTACTTTTGAAAATGAATGAACTGGATGGAGATTTGTATTATTGAGATGTCTACTAGAATAATCAAAGCATGTGTAGTTGCTTATCTTTAGGATATCTCAGTGGATCCACCTATGGGTAACGTCAGATAATTGCTTAACTGTTCATGGATAATTAAGTGAGAGAAAAACAAAAACACTTTAAAAGAAACTACATTAAAATTAGAATAAAATACCTTAAAAGTTGAGTAAACAATACAAAGAAGACACATTTTCTATACTGTCCCTATACTAAAAGGTGTTTTTAGTTCACGCAAGAGAACACCATCAAATGTTACCATTATCTACTGTTGCGGTGGTGCAATTTGTTTGGGAACCCTAAAGACTAAATATTGTACTCCTATCATTACTCATACCTTTATTAATTAAGGACCATATTTTTAGTTATACGCCTAGCAGAATATGGTTGTTTTGAGATAACAATGTAGGTTATATCTTTAAGGATCTTCAAAGTTAATTTCAATTTTCAAGTATTTATTTTCTTTTCTTATGTATATGATTCTGAAGAAAAGTAACTGCATGGTTCTATTTCAATAATTATCCTGAAATACCTGCTTGGTTCATTATAATTTAAAGTGGACAAGAGAATGAAAATTCATCTAGCATTAAATGAATATCTTTTCATATAGCAAGATCTCAAACCTATTACTTCTCATAACCTGTTAACCTTTCATAACGTTTAGAGATTTTATTTTTTTAAGATTATATATATTCTTAGCGCAGGCCTAAATTTCAGTTTGAATTATAAACTCTTTAAATGCCTATAATTTAAACAGATGTGTTTTTCTCAGCCTCTTCTGAAACAATCTCCTTGGAGCAACCATCAGAGCAGTGGCTGGGGCACTGGAAGTATGTCCTGGGGAGCAATGCATGGCAGAGATCATCGTAGAACTGGAAACATGGGAATTCCAGGAACTATGAATCAGATATCTCCATTGAAGAAACCATTTTCTGGTAATGTCATAGCACCACCGAAATTTACTCGCTCTACTCCATCACTGACTCCAAAATCTTGGATTGAAGATAATGTGTTCAGAACAGACAACAATAGTAATACACTCTTACCCTTACAGGTAAGAATGGTATGTAAATGGTCTTATTTCTAATGTTGATCTTTCAAAGTAAGAAATTGGGTGGTGGTAGTAGTAGTAGTAGTAGTAGTAGTATGGTAAAATCAAGAGATTAAAACATAAAGTTTTAATTTTTAAGCATATAATTTAATTCCCAAAGGATAAAGTACTTATGTAGAGAAAATTGAGACTAAAACATTCTCTAAACACACAGTAGAAAAGAAGCTTCATAAAATCTAGAAAAACCTGTATTTCTTAAATACATTTTGAAGCTTTTAATTGGCAGCTCAAGAATGCCTTAATTTATTCATCTTTAATAGGCCACCAAAATGAATGTCTTCTCCAATATAACTAAACTAAAATGTTAAGTAGTTGTGCATAGATTTGACTGTGATCAGCTGTATATATATTAGAATATACTTAGTACAGCTGTGATTATGGCAAAATAATATTAGGGCTTTTTGCATCAAATTAAAATCTGTCCTTCCTGGTTCAATGACTATTTTTTTCTAAATGTGGCCTAATAGTTATGATGATTAGGCATTTTTTTCAGGCTTTTTAATGTTTTATTGATATTACAGGCTAATAAAGGTCCTTGTAGCTATTCATAATGAGACTTTTTTCCCAAGACTTTTAGAGGACCAAAAATACAAGATAGAAGGAACTTTGATTGTTTTTGTTTTCTTTCCTTTTTTTTTTTTTTTTTTTTGTGGGTGGGTGTGGGGAAGAGAACTGCTTATTTCTGATGAAAACTTCTATGCTATTGAAGGTGAGATCTAGTTTGCAGTTACCAGCTTGGGGCTCAGATTCACTCCAAGATAGTTGGTGCACTGCAGCCGGAACATCCAGAATAGACCAGGTAGGCTGCACAGTGTATATTTTTCAGGATTTTGACTAGGAGTTTAGTATTTATATTATGAGTAAGATTTATTATTTACTTTCCAGTTATACCTTTGTAAGCATATGTCAAAGAACATTAAAGCAATTTATTTTTAAAAGGTCACTTATTTAGTATAAAATGCTTCATTTTCAATTTTATAAGTAATTCATAACTATTTTATATTTCCAAAACAATTTGTTTTTGGAAAAAGGAATTATATACCCAAGAGCACCTGACTTTAAACATCAGTCAAACTGAACAGATTTTATCTTTCAGAATTATTTTCAGTTGGGGACAAAATCATATGTTTACTTAACATTCAATTTTACATTTCATCAGGGTTCTACAGAATTTTTTAGTAAATTTTTGTTACGAAATCTACATTTGTCTTGAGGTATATTTCTAAAGAAGCCCTAGCTTCAATTTTTTTACCTTTAAGAAAAACTTCATGTATAGTATTTCTTTATTCTAAAATTTGTCACTGCTGTTATATACTATCTCCTTCCAAATAATCAGTTTCTTATAGAAAAACCATAAATCAAAAAGCTAGGAATTGGTCTTAAATTACCTTTAAGCCCTTTGTGGTTACAAAATGCTCTCTCTTTTCCTGCAGACTAAATTAGAATTCATACTGGGTACCCAGTGATGAGAATTATTACAGGACAAGTAGAAAACTCGGTCCTACATGAGGATTCTTTACTACAGAGCCAAAGCTTGAATGAGCATAGACTTGACATTGTGGGAGCCCACTGAATGGAGCTATGTTATCCTTAGCTAAGGCTCTTCCTTAGTTAATTTATCAACATGAGATGATTTTACAAGTAAGGACTCTATAAATAGATTAATAATGCGTTTGTCAATAGCTTTCAAATTTGGAGGGTTAGCAGTAACTTCAATAATCTATCATTAGCACTTATTTTAGACAAGTCCTACCGTTTTACCAAAATAGTCCTACCAGGATCTCCACTTAGAAATAAGTAGTTCTCTCACACACAATTTGTGATTTATTGTTTTGTTAATAATTTAAGTTAGCTCTCCATCTATTTCTACTCTCTTCTCCACTCTGGCCTATACTTAGGCCATATTAGTGACATTTTTATGGTAGCACTTTTATGTTGTTCAAATTGAATACATAAATGCCTAGGAGATGATATGTTAGAAGACGAAAATTATAATCACTTTGAAGGTGGCAAGGGACATGTTTTTAGCGAGGACAGGACATAATTATTTGAAGAACATGTGTAGGAAGAAGCAAGAGGATATATATATGAGGAATATTTAACTGTGGAGAAGAGAGAAGACAGATTAGCTATCTTAAAGGGACCATGGGGGCAGGGCACATGTTGAGAAATGAGGTTATTGAGATGGTTTTAGTTGGTGGAGTGCTAGAGAGTAGATAGAGGTGATAATGAAAGGGAAGTCAGCCCCTGGGCTGCTATAAGATGAGGGCCTCCAGCACTCCCACTTAGATTTCAGTCAAAGCCAATCTGTTCTTACCGGTTCTGTAACCTAGGATTTTAGGTAAATTCATTTTACATGAAAGGATTTAGGTGCTTGAAGATAATTTTTTTTTCTTTTGGTAAACTGCTGAGATACTGTCATTCCCTTGGGACCCTTGAGCCAGAGGGGTGATATGATGAAGTTGAAGAGCTTGGTGAAGAAAACGATAGTGGGAAGTGAACTGAACTAGAAGAAAAGGAGGTCTGAAACCTGAACCTTCTTCCTCTTTCTCAGTCCTTATGACATCTGAGGATACAGTCTATGGGTCTTTTATGTCTTTGGGTCACAGTTTCTGTATCTATAAAAGGGAGAACCTTGAACTAGATCATGAAAGGCCTTTTTAGCCAGCTCTTATACTTTCTCTGATCTATTTTGGCCATTTCTTTTCCTCCCTGTGCACCACCAACCCCCCCCCCAACACACACACACACACACTTTATTTTTTAGAATACAAAGGTCCTGGTGTATTGGGGAGAAGGGGTGGGAATTGGATTGAGGCAGGCAAGGTATAGTGTATGACCTCCCAACTGGTCTTAAAAGTAATGTGGTTCTCTCTTTTGAGGACCTTAAGGGTACTTAATGATACAAAATTTGTTCTGTGTTTCTATCTTTCCATAAAAGGTTGAGGTATTTGAAATTGAGGTTTTTAAAAATACAGCAACAGCTACAAACTTCAATTGGTATTTTAAACCATTGGGTAGTTCCTCACTATTTGGCAAAGTTAAAATTATAGAAAATTCTTAAGCACTTAAATATCTGGGGCAGTATTTTCATTCTGACTTTTTTTTTAATTATATAGAACATTTTAATACTAATATATCTCAGTTAACAAATACATTATTTTAAAACATTTAACTTTTTATTTCTTTTAGTTTCAAATTGATTAGGCATAAAAAATATACTAAATTCTAGAACTGGAGTCTCAATTCCTGTACCTGGATACTTGAGGCCTTACCTATACCAAGAACTGGACATGTAATTAACAATCAGCAAATGGGGAAGAAATGGTTTTGTAGATTGGTTTTACTCAGTTGCATATAAAATTTTTAGGGTTGGTTGGCATTTCCTTACTTTATTTTCTTATGGAAAAGCTTCAAATATAAAACTTTTTAAAAACAAAGGTAAAGTTTTAAATACATTTCAGACTTTAAAATGAATTTTAGGTATTTGTGTTAATTTCTTTAAGGCTAAGAATACTTTTCTTTAAAACGCTGTTAGGTAGTTACCCTTGCAAGAAGTCATACTCTGATGTATGAATTCTAATTGCCTTAAAATTGAATTTCAATTAGATATTGGGATTATAATATATTCATTAATACTTTAATATTTTAAATCAAAAAGTAAATATACTAGTAGCTGAGATTATTACTTGCAGGTTTATATACTGTACATCAGTTCTCTGTAAACAAAGCAACAAAATGCCTTTAAAAGTGTAATATAGCCGTGAAGCCTTACAAGATGGATGTTGGCCTGTCCTCTAGCTAAGGGATTATCAATATATTCAATTCTAGATTTTTGTTCCTGTGGAAGTTCTTGAGCATGTCACATAAACTACCTTGAATTAATTGGAGATACTTCCCACCAGTCTTTAATATCTAGACTGTTACGTGACAACATGATAAATGATAATATGGGGGTCTCTTGGAAAAATACATTATTTGGTGTCTTTATTCACTTTGCACAAAAAACAATATATAGTAGCAGACCAAGTCTAATTTTTCATTTAATAGAACATTCCTTAAATTGTGGTTCTTAAATGTGATGAACCTCAGGGGGCATTGGTAGTCAGCAAACTGTTAACACTCACTGAAAATGAGAAAGAATGGGTTCTCTTGTACCTGCTTAGGTAATGGATGCTTTCTTTTCAAGTTTTGTATCCTGCATTCAATTCTTTAACTGTACTTGATATATTCTTATACCGCCTATTTTCTCCTTGCCTTTCCATTTAATCCTTGTGGATACTAGTATAGCTTTAGCTATTTGGGGCCTTTAAAAATTTTTTTTTTAATTTTTTTCCGTGTCACTGTCATAGCACATTGTCAAGGTTCAGATTAATAAAGGAAGTTCAAAAAATGTATGTTCGTTATGTATGTCGTAGTGTTTTAATTACCCTTGGGATATATGGGGAGAAATTCTGTTCTTTGCCTTTGAGAAGGTGAAGGTCCAGTCGGATGAAGAAGGGGTGTCTGTGTGGAACAACCAGAGACTGAAATGAGAGAGTAGGACACTGAACACGACATTGTGCAGGAAGACAGTAGCACATCATCCGCTGCTAATTCAGTAGAGTAGCAGTGTGTCGTCAGGAACGTAAAATCAGTATTTACTGAAGATTGAGGACAATATTAGTACAACTTGTTATTTTAAAGCAAAAATTGGAAAAGTCAACACAAAACTGCAACAAAAGCTGATCTTTCTACTTAGAAGGATATATGTTAAAGCATCTGGTATATCTTTAAATATGACAATATGGGGTTTTCCTGTAATCCATCTCCTTTTTCTTTGGGTGAATACTTCATTTTCAAGAGGAAAATGTTCTGCTTGACCACTTCTTTTGAAATGAGACAGGGTTTTTAATATATCAGAGTAAAAATATAACATCCCATTGAAATGTCCCCTTTTAATTAAGTTCAAGTTCTTTTTGTTGTACTAATTTTAATATTCTTGACCTCTTTATTTTTTAGCATTTCTAATCTTTTTTTAGGTTATCCTATTTAAGATTAGGATTACTTTGTTCTTTCTGTGTTTTTCAGTCTTTCTAGGACTGTATTGTTGCTTCTGTAACTCTTTATGGCAAATGTCTGGGTTTATGAAAATAATAAAATATTATAATAGAGTGTAGTTTTCCCGAAAATTAATCCCACTGCTTGTGGGATTCTGTAATCTCAGTTTCTGAAAACCCATTTAAGTTGATTCTTTGCCAGATAATTTTCATATTTAAAGTAGATTGGGGTAATCTTTTCCTCATAGAGATTCTTACTTTTGTGAAACGTCTTGGCTCTTGTCATATAGTCATGTAGTCATAAATATAAGTTACATTGCTATGATTTTCCATATGTGCGCTAATCAGTTTTGGTGTGTTTATGTTTACCTTAAAATAGTTTCAGGCAGTTTGTGTGAACACAAATTTTTCTAATACCCTTATTCTATAATTAGATTTGTTTCTGTTGTTTTTTTCCAGAAGTTATATTCTAATCCCCACACTTTATTTAATGAAATTATCTATACTTTTTGAACATGAACCTATAGGTTTCATTAAATTTAGAAAGTGATTTTGAGATGTCATGAGCTCTTTGCCTGCTCAAGGCTATTTTGTGTTTAGTGCTTTAAAAATCATGTGGGATGCAGCTGATGCTCACCAAAGTATAAGTAAGCTAGTAGTTTTATAATAGCTTTGTTATTTTCCTTACTAAAGCAGGAGTTTGTTTCATGATGAGACTTGAAATGCAAGGGAAAATAAGGGGCCTTATTAAGTGGGCATCACACTGTTTCAGTTGGATATAGGCATTAAAGCTAAAGCTATCAATACATGCAGCTTTTTTGAATAACCACTGTTTGTTTATTACCTAGTGGTCACTGATATTTATTGACTAGCTTGCTTTTATATTTCCCTTCTTAGCTTAAATATTGCCCATTGACAGTGTATATGGAGTTACTTCATTAATTTTACTTTAAATTTTGCTCTAAAGCAAGATCATACTCCTTGAATGGAGTTAGTGTGTGACCAAAAAAAAAAAAAAAAAAATGTGAGAAATATCATTTGGGTGGTGGTAGTAGTCACCATTAATTAAGTTCATAGGTCCACTGTGAGGTTTTTTTTTACTTAATTATATATACAATTTTTATCATGATAGCTTACATTTTTAAATTCTATTTTAAATATGTTTTTAATACATCTTAGCTTTGTCAATTAACATCTGAGTACCTATTCCATGGAGAATTCTAAGAAGACTTTATGGTTCTGAACAGTCTTTGCCCTCACAGAGCTCAACTTTAATTCACAGTTTTTATAGTAGAGATAAACTACTATTGATTCAACAAACATTTGAGAGTTAGCTATATTCCATAATTAGAAGGTCCTTGCCTCTAATTAATTTAGTTTAGTGGGTAAGGCAGGAAAATCAACAAATTAGTTACAAACATAGTATGGTGGAAGCACAGAAGATGGAAATATTTGGATTACTAAAATTGTATGTCATTTTTACCCAAGGGCCTCTCTATTCCAGTTTTATTTAATTTATTACATAGTGCTTTGAGTCTTTTGCTTTTCTATCTAATCTGAGACAATTTTTTTTTTCTTTTCTAGAAGATAGAACAGAGCCTAAAAAGGTTTAGTAACTTACTCAAGATAAAGAAGCTCTGCAATTCTTTTTTTTTTTTTTTTTTTTTAAAGATTTTATTTATTTATTTGACAGAGAGAGAGATAGCGAGAGCAGGAACACAAGCAGGGGGAGTGTGGGAGGGAGAAGCAGGCTTCCCGCCGAGCAGGGAGCCCGATGTGGGACTCGATCCCAGGACCCCGGGATCATGACCTGAGCTGAAGGCAGACGCTTAACGACTGAGCCACCCAGGCGCCCAAGAAGCTCTGCAATTCTTAAAATATGGTCTCTGGACTATCAGTCTAAGTATCACCTGGGAACCTACTTTAAATACATGTTTTCAGGGGCCACTGTAAACCTTTTGAATTTCAGACTGTGTCAGCAGAGTCCCAGCAATCTGGGGCCCAGCGATATGTGTGTTTGACAACCCTTCCACATGATCCTAAAGCATGCTCAAGTGAGAGAACCACTATTCTAGTTCACTGATTCTCTGTGCCTCCCTCACCAATCAAAGTCACTGTTAATGATGTAAAATAAAGTAAGTAAAGATAAGTAAGGAGTATCAATATAGCTGTATGGTGATAAAGCTGGAGTAAGACCAACTGGTCTAGGAGTCTACCATTTAGTATTACTTTGCACGCTTTCTAAATTCCTCAACAGCAATTTGTTTAGTCTGCAATACTGATTCTGGTCCCCTAGCTTTAAAAGCTCACAACCCTGATTTATTTACTCCACTTGCTGGAGTAAATAAATCAACATATTTTCAGTAAAAGCTTTTTATGTTTTTCTTTAGCTTTCTGAAAGACTGGCTCTGAACCGTCTCTGGATTGTGGACTCCTTTGGAAAACTGATGAAGCCCTTTTCTTCAGGAAAAAATTATGTGTACACACACATACAGAACATTGTATATAATCTCAGATTTCATGGTCCTTCTTGAAGTTCATGGACTCAGGTTAAGAAGTGCCTAATTCTGATTTCTGTAGAGACTTTTTCCCCCTCATTTTTCTTACTCTTCCGTTTTCTTTTTATGTATTAATTATTTTTTGAGAGTTAAAAATGGCCTGCCCTGCCTCTCCTTCATATACATACACCTGTACAAACACCTACACATTTAAATGAGTGGGAGTCATCACTGACATTTTGGCAATTTAGGGGGCATGGGCCAGAGCTTGCTGTCATTGTTCCCCGTGTATGTTTGTTCAGGTACATTGAGATGTGTTGGGCAGAATAACAGCATAAATTCATAGGCGTTGAAGAATCCCATTCCTTCTGGTAAGCAGGTTGACAGATTTAACATTTAGCAGACAAGACTTTCAGCTACACAAAGACTTTGTTCTGGGACTTGAGGTAGGAAACTTGTTGAGATGAGAATACTTTCCATCCTCTCTTCCCTGCATCCCCGCCTTCTTTGCAGGGTGTGGAGGGAAAGAGGATTTAGAAATGCAGAGACCAATATGTGAAGACTTCAGGGAGCAAGATTTGGTTATAAGTATTTTAGGTGTTAGTCTTTGTTCTGATATTAGTAGTTCATGCTTTTAATATTAACTGAATGGGTTGTTCATGTATTTATTATTGTGAAATTCTAAGTCAAATAATGTACACTGTTTGATAGATATTTAAAGTATGGTGCCATTATGGGATTAATTCCTTCCCCCCAAATATTTGTTGTTTAAGTGCCTGTGTCTTCCTAGATATATGAGAAAAGCTTAGAAGTTAACAACTAAAAATGCTGTGTATATAACATTTCAGAAATCTTTATAAGTTGAGATAACAATAGAAATTATTTTACTATATTAATGCTTCCAGTGAATTAAGATTATTTTTGATATGTGATTTTAGAGATGAATACAGTAAATGTAGTATTCTCCAGTACAAGAGATATTGTAACTCATGGGATCCTTAGTTACTGGTATTGTCTTGGGATGCAAGTGATTAGTAATATATTAATCAGATGTCCTGTTTTATGTAAGAAGATTTAGATGGTATATTTATCATCAGTTTTTGAAAAAGTTGCATACATCATATTGAGTCTTTTTCTCTTCTAGGATCGAAGTAGAATGTATGACAGTTTGAATATGCACTCTTTGGAGAATTCCCTTATTGATATTATGAGAGCAGAGCATGATCCTCTTAAGGGTAGGTGACTTTTTTTTTATTTCTTATATCATGCATCGAACTGTGTCTGTCTCACCATTTTTTATAAGAAAATTAGCACTAAGTAGCACCTATGTCATCTATAAGATTCTGTTATGTTTGCTAATAAAAACCTTTGTGAAATGTCCTACTTTTTCTTTTGTAGCTTATTTAGATTTATGCTGATTTATGCAGAGAGAAGTGTAAACCCGTGCCTCTTGACTTGTTATCTAAGAAAAAGCCACTGTTGAGAAATATTTTGCAGTTCGCCATAGGATCTAAGTGTATAGTATAAGTCACTTTTCTAGAATTCTATCAAATACAGAAATTTAAAAAAAAATCCTTGGAATACTTGAATTTACAATTTGCAGTGATTCCTACCTATAATTGCCCTAAGTTAACTTCCTTTCCGATTTTTCTTCTACTGTCATAGGGTTTTAAAAGGAGATCTTTTATAGTAGCTTCTCTGAGTTTTCATAAAAGTTGGGGCAGATTAGGAAAAAGAATCAGCTCCACCGATCTTAGAGTATTAGTCTTATTGTTAACTGTATCTGAAGGTATTTCATTAACATACTTGTTTTCATTTGTCTGTACATTACATGTTACTAATTATTTTACATTTCTTTGTACAATATATCTCATTGCCTTTTATTTTCATGGTGAAAATCTAGAAAAACTGTGTACTTGGGTGATAAGAGATATGCTATCTCTTGCTGCATAATAAATTATCCCAAAATTTAGCAGCTTAAAACAACAATAAACATTTATTATGTCACACAGTTCTGTGGGTCAGGAACTCAGGAGCATTTTGGTTGGTTCTGGCTCAGCATCTCTCATTGAATCAAAACCATGGGCTACTTGGTAATTTTTCCACATTTTTAATTCTATAAAGCCAAGTAAGAAGTCCCTTGAAACATTTAGCCTAAAACTCTAGAACTTAAGTGTTGGCAGCAAGGTGGTGGCTTGAGGCTGAGTTGGTAATACTGATCAGATATCTAAACATTTTGTTTTGTTTCTAGATTTTGTTTATAAAGGAGTTTGTCTTTCTAATTCCTTTATTTTTAAGGAGCGTGAAAAGCTCAAGAGATCATTAATGATTGTTAACAGCGTGTGGCAATGGTAATTCTCCCAAACTAATAAAGACTATTATACTTGGGGTTTTTTTTTGGGGGGGGCCTTCTAACCAAAACCTAATCTAATTTTTTTAGTATCTGTATATTGGGGTCTTGTTCTCTTTCACTGTTACTCTGACAGTTCTAATGGTATTTGTCTTGGATCCACTGTTTAATAATAGAATCCAGCAGTTTATGATTATGAAGAAGTTCCATCTGTTTATTTCTTTGGCTTATCTAGAAAGAAAACTCTTAGAAATTCTTATACAAGATAAAGTCATTATTCACTGTTACCAGTGAATAATGAAACATTTTTCATTGTTGTTTCTCCCAGTCTTCTTTAAAAAGGTCTTTTGAAAATGTTAAGAGTAAACATTCTCTGCTGGAGAATTATCTCACGTTTTCTTTTTTTCTAAAGTCTGTGTTATAATAAAACTGGGAGAAACCTAGAAAGAAGACTTTGAAAAGAAAATGGAAGCAGCCTAAGGCTAAGAGGAATTTAATAATTTAAAAAAGAATCTCAAATGAATTCAAACTCTTTTGTTAGAAAAATTATCTTCGGCCATGGGAAGGGGGAAAATGTGTTCAGCAACACCTTTTGGAATTATGTTAACAAATCTCTGTTTCTAATTGGAGTATTTTGTGTTCCACATTTATTATGGCAGGGAATTAAAAGAGAAAAAAATAGAAAGAATTGAGAAATCTTCTCTACATAGAAATAGAAATAAGACTGGTACTTCTGCATACTACCATCATATACTTATTTAAAATGATCCTCATACCCAAGTGCTGCTACATGAAGATTTTTCTTTTCTTATTAGTACAGACTTCACTGCCTTTAGGATATCATAAGGATGTCATATTGTATATCTTCCTCCTCGTATTCTGATCATTGCACATTTTCTCTGGGTGGGACCTCAGTAAACTCTGCTATAAGTGAGGTTGTGACAGAACAGAAGCCAATCTCGAAACTTTCCCCTTTTTTCCATTCCTCATCTTCAGGACAGCACTTCAGCCTATGTCCCGCCTCTTCCATCTCATCTTTCATTCCTTTCAGAAAAGCGTGTCTTCTGTTTAATACAAGAAAATTCTTTTTTTTTTCCAAAAAAAAAAAAAAATGAATGAATCATGTTATCCTTTTTAAATGTTTTCAAAAAGTCTGCCATTTGCTTTGTCTTCCTTATGGGATCTATTGGAAACGGAAAAGGGAGTTCTAGGGTAAATTTTTTTTAATTAATTTTTTGTTTCCCTTTCTATTAATGATAAAAGTTTCTAGAAAATTTTCATATAGAAAAATTTCCTATATGAAAATTTTCCACAGGAACTTCAGTGATGAGAGATTATATTGTTATGTATTGCTGTATAACAAATTACCCCTAAGTTTAGCAGCTTAAGACAACAATAAACATTTATTATCTCACACAATTTCTTTAGGTTAGAATTCAAGAGCTAAATTAGCTGCTTGGTTCTAGCTGAGGATCTCATGAGGTAGCAGTCATGTGGAGGCTTGACTGGGGCTGGAGGTTCCTTTTCCAGGGTGGCTCACTCATGTGGGTGGCAAGTTAGCCCAGGCCATTGGCAGGAGAACTCAGTTGCTCACCATGTGGACCCTTCCACGGAACTTCTGGTGTGTCCTCACAGTGTATTCAGTGGATCCCCCAGAGCAAAGATAAAGTTCAAGGTGAATGTCCCAGTGTCTTCTGTGACCTAGCTTCAGAAGTCTCACACCACCATTTCCATGACATCCTAGTAGCTACACAGGTCATCCCTGCTCAACTGGGGAGGTGTCTGCTACTCAGGAGATGTGAATATTGGGAGGCAAGCATCAGTGGAGGCCGTCATGGAGGCTGGCTTGGCTTCCACAGAGATGAAAGGCGGAAGCTAAATTTGCATTCAGTTCTACTTTTCTAAAGGAAAAGAGAAAACTACTCAAGATAAAACTTCGTGTCAGTAGAAAGGAAAACAATCAAGCAGCTCTCTGGAATCCAAAGGAAGTCTGGCAAGTTACTGGCCTGAGAACTGACTGATAGTACTAACAGAGGGACCTCCCATCCCCACCACAGCCCAGAATACTTCACTGCAGCTTGTTTCCATTTTCCCACCCTCCAATGATTTTTACAGGTCAGTAGGGAACCTCCATTGTTTAATGTTGAGGTTCTGTGGTTTAGCATAGCAGGTAGGAAGGGTCTTGTCTCATTGAAGTTCTAAAGGTGTGAAGAGATGGCAAACAAAGATGCAGCTCTATATGCACTTTATTCCACTAAGTGTGTCCACTTTTGTACCAGGCACTGTCCAAGACCTTGGTTGTAATTGTGCAAAACAGACATAGTCTCTGTTCTCGTGGGATTTGTAGCCTACTAGGGAAAGAGGGACCTTATCATCATATGTATAATATGCATATATACATATGATATAGTCATATAATATTTATATACATAAAACCCATACCTCTAACCATAGAGTGTTAGAAGTGCTGTGGAGGGAGATGATAAGGTGCTTGGAAAGGTAATAAGTAAGGGGAGGGGGGTACTTAGTTTATCTGTGGAGTAAAGAAAGCTAAGACCTGAAGGTTGAACAGCACAAAGATGAAAAAATATCGGGGGAAAGTGTCAACTAGACAGAGGGGCCAGGGTGCATGGAAGAGCCTGTCACATTGGAGGAACTGAAAGTAGACAAGTCCTGGCTTAGCTTGTTGAGGGCTGCCTGACGCTCATGGGATGTAACTGCTCAGCCGGCCCTAGGGAGTGCGTGCCGTCTTTTGCTCCAGATCAGGAACACTAACACACCATTTTATGCTTTCCTTAGTATCAGTGACACTGATCTGTTTTATTTATTCTGCAGTGGTTTTTTGCCATTAACATCCTGTTTTCTGATGACTGTCTTCATTCTTGGCAAATATTTTTATTTTCAAGGGAAAAACAAATATGGATTCTTTTAATGGTTAAAGTAAATCATGCTTTGCCAACTGCAGTTTTGTGATATTGCAGTTTTGTATTTGAATACCTATGTTAAATAATCTGTGATCTTTTTATGTATGTGTGGATCAGTTCATTCTGCTTTAAACAAAAGAACAAGACAGTGATTATTGTTAAGCTCTCTTCCCTCCCTACCCTCAGCAATTTGCAAAAAGGTCTTACTGTGTAAGCATTATTACCAAAAATTTCTTACACCCTCCCCAAAAGTATAAGAGTAAACATAAAAATTTAATTTCAGCTAAAAAAAAATGATTTGAAAACTGTGGAAAGATGCACTTCATTCATGCATAAATGCTGTAATATAGCAGTTCTTGGAAAGATCTGTTTTAGCAAGTCACAATGACTTTACCAGTGTTCCCTGAATGATTTAAAGGAATTCAGGAAAAAGGATTTAGAGTATGATTTTATGCCAACACATGTTTAAAAGTGGATGCCTTTAAAACTTCTTATTTACTCTGTATTTTTGTGTGTCTAGCATCATTTTTATTACTTGACTGCAAAACTCCTGTTTTCCAAGACTCCTGACGTAGAATCTCTGCTATTTTAAGGAAGATAACTACTGAGAAAATAAGGAATTACTTCTGTGTAAGGCAATAAGTGGTTGCGGTAGTATCAAATAAATTCTTGCCTCTTTTCTTCTATTGTTCTTTTCCCTCTGATTCTCTTCAGCAGGCCTTAATGTAAATTTGAAGTACAAAGTCACAGAGTAACTTGTATAAATTTCTAAAAGTCTGTCGTGTGAGAATTTACATTTTAGAACTTAAGAACTTTCAAGCTGGGCAGAGATTCTGAAACTCTGAAAGCATTTATTAGGCAGGTTTCAGTACCCCACTCCAAGAGACTGTGCACTCCAGGTTGTGTAAAGAGCACACTTGGAGAAACTCTGAAATAGTGGAACAAGATCAAAGAGATCTAT